AATAGTTGCATCTGTTTAGCACCAAAGTCATTGTTCCGTAATCCAAAAGATCATTACTTTCTGTGAAAGTAACCTTCCTTTTTTAACCAGGCACAACAATGGAAACAGTAAGTGGAACACTTAACCCCTCCCGACCTACTCAAAATTGCCCCAGAGGAATGCACAGGAGGCTTGTAAAGAGACACACTTTAAAAAATATAATAAAAACCACCACTCCACCCATGACTGTCTCAGTTACATTTCCTAGGGTAAGTGAGGTTACAGTAAACTTTAAGTCTTAAGCAAGTTCTTCTGTTTATCTTCAAAGACTGGGACACTTATTTTTACTCAGCTAGTCACAAGGGCTACCAGAATTGAGCCTGACTCAGCTAAACAGAGCTAAAGTATAACATCATAGCATAAGGAAATTTCCATGGACGTTAGAGACTTCTGTTAGTGGTTTCAGTCCACCTTCTACATTAGTACTATTCAGAATCATGAACATCTCAAATAGAAGAGACATCTCCAGAACAAATCTTGTGTTGCATACATGGCCACAACATGTATGAGGTGCATCACAGCTCTTTAATCTCTTAAAATTCTTTTAATCTGAAGTAGAAAATTCCAAATATTTTTAAAGCAAAATTTCTCTTCAATTATTTTGTGAAGGTAAGAACAAGAAGGGAAGATTTAAATATTTTTATTTAGTGCTAGTTACTAAGGAGATATGAAGCCTCCAGATTTATTCTTTCCTAAGGCTGTAATGTAGATTCTTGTAGGGATTCATTAGGAATAAGTTCTCATAAACTGCATGTAAATTTCATACCTATTATTATTCTATTTTACAAAGAATAAGTATCATTCTTTTTCAGTTCCTCCCTTGTTCCTTTGTATAGATGTCTCCATTATGAAGAGAAAAAAGATCAATCCTAATATCTGCCTATGCAAATTTTCTGCTTCAGATGCAACCAGGAAAACACTCTTCAAGGGCATATGCTTGTAATCATTCCCATATTTGAATAACTGTAGCTATGTTGTAGGTTTTTTAGAAGATCCAGTTGCTATTAGGCAATCCAATGTAAATCAGTTAGTGTGCAGACTTTGGAAAGCAAACTGCAAATGGCACATAGGACTTTGTGGAAGAAAGCCTCCATTTGCTAAATGGCTTGTTACACTGCTTACCCAGTGAAGCATGCCACAGATTAGGTGGCACATTACAGCTGGGAAGGCAGCTTCGGATAAGTCTTTCTTTTACACATAGATACAATAAAAAAATCCACAATCTTAACTGTATTGCTTAGTAAGATGCACACAGCTCAGTAGCAAAGCTTGCTTTGCCTTCCCAATTGACTATTTACCATCCCATCTGTATCACATTTCCCACTCACAGCCTTACAAACCAGCTTGCCAGAAACAGATGTCTATTTGTCACAAAATGTTTTTTCAAGGCTTCATTTGCTTACTGAGGTTTATGAAAAACCCTCAGGATTTCATTAGAGTAGGATCACAATCCTGATCGTGACAATGCTAAAGGCAAAGCTGTTCTCATTAACTAAGTAGATAAGCAGAATATATTAAATATTATGATGAAACTATATCCCTGCCAATTAAGGTTGCAGACAGCTTTAATTTAAAATCCAAATTTAATTTGCTCTATCCTAACTTTGACTTGAAAGTTAATTAGGTCCCAAACCTGTTGATTTTTTACTGAAGGTGAAAGAAAATATTTTGCGGTTTCATATTCAATTACTAGTTTAAGCTTGGCAAGCATTAGAATTTTTCTGAATTATAACATCAGCTTTTAATTATACATATTTCGGGTCCTATGAGCTCAAAGATACCTTGCAACAATATGTAAAAATTCAGAGAGTTAAGCCTGCTTTGGAAAACCATAAAAAATAACTACAGAAAATAAACTGTACATAAAGTGTATTATTTTTTTACTACATCTAGGGCTGATCTTTCTATTTCAGCAAGTGTTTCAGAACTTAGGACTATTGGCTAATAAAAACACTCTGCTTGACAGAGAAAAAGCAGAGTCTTTGACTACTGAAAGAGATGGTAGGAAAAATATGATGCAAAAATGGTCGCTACAACTTCTTATAAGCCAATTCCTCTGTTTTGGCCTGTAGTTCTTCAAAAGATTCAGTAAGCACACAAACCAGAATCTGTGCATCTGGTCTTTGTATACTCTTCTCCTAGGCTTCTGCATTTTATTAAGTTTAGAATTATGTTATTAATATGCTTCACAACTGATCTATACAGGTTAACTTGAACTAGCTTCCTACTGGAATGACACTCATCCTTGAATAGTTATCAAGTGAATGGGTTGCACAAAAAAAGTCCTGTAGGATTCCTCAAAATTTTTTCATACACTAGAAGGTAGCTTTAAAAATATGCTGCAGTCAGACTCTTAAATTACAAATATGCTTGGCTCTGCAACAAATATTGAAACCAAGGGAAAAGGCATAGCAACTTACACATAGAATCCATTAGATTTGTCTATAATATCATAAATCATTCGTGATTTGATTAAACTAAGTTTATCCATAGCTGCAGCTCCACCATTATTCTTTATCCATTCCAGTACCAATCCCATGATATAAATACTGCAACAGGAAAGAATATTTCAGTTAGATTATTAAAAAAACAGAAAAAAGTAACAGTCCTGTTTAACAGGTCCAAAATGTTTCAGCAACAAAGTGTTATGTTTGGTTTTAGAGTACTTAAACAACTCGGAATCTGGAGTATTTTACAAATTATGACAATTCTAAGCAGGCAATGAGGTTTTTTTTCGGACACAGATGAGGTATCCTGAAATTCCAATCTACACAAATTTGTGGGACCAAACTTAATCCTTTGTACCACAGAAGGAGAAGTCCTGCAGATTTTCTGTAGCCCTGCAGGGCTCCCAAGTAGCATCCACTCTGTGCAGCTGCTCTGTGTAGCAAAGATGCAGGGCTGAATCTCAAATGTATGTACATTAATAATGCGAGAAGTCTAATCCTATTTTCACAAATGTTAAAAACTATAATCCCATTTCTGTCTAAAATGACCTTTTTCTCACATGAACAGTAAAGTTTGGCAAAACAAGTAATAATGTATTACACTTAATTATTCATTACCATTCAATTTCTAAGTAGAGATCTGGAAGCCTACTAGCATCATGTGGCTTGGGACCAAGTATTTCAATGCTAGTTACTAAGTGCAACATAAAAAATCCCCCAGGCCTTCTGCCTTTGTGCTTTTGCTACAAAACTCAGCTTGTTCAAGTTCAGGCATTTCCCACGACTACAACACTTTACATAATAAACTGTTCACAAGTTTTTATGGCATATTTCCAACAAGTTTGCTTTTATTAATTCCTTCATTACAGATTCCAAGGGAGTGCTCAGAGAACATTACCTGACAAGTTTCCCTAACGCAAGTCTAGCAGGAGGCAGTTTTAAACATTGCTACTTTTAATTTCTCAGGGGATGCCAGTGACAAATCTGTGAACACTGCAGAATAACTGAGGTTACAGACTGCCTTTTATAAAAAGAACCTTTAGATGTGAGAGCACAACCTTGCCACATTTGTGACAGTGCAAAGGATTTGAGTGAAGTACAGCCTAGGCCCTTGCTAAACATACAGGGCCACATTCACCTCTTGCCCTCACTTCCTTGAGGGAAAGATCTTGGACAAGGTTTAAAGAAGTCACCTTTAGAGTCATCCACAAAACCCAGCCAGCTGAAATCATTTATCATCTTCTATGTCAGTCAAAATATGTTTCTGGAGCCATTTTAAATGCTAAATAAACCCTCGGAGCTTGGAAATGGGATTTTTATAGCAAATTCATTGTTAATTTTAGCAAAGCAGATTAGGGTCAAAGAGTCAAGCTCTGTAGTGCCAAGAGGTTAAAGCCATTAGCATCACCTTAATTTAATTTAACATCCTGCTGAAGTAGCTTTTGCAAATTCAGTTAATATTTCCTGCCTGTTTGCCAGCAAACCATTAAAGAGTGCAAGGAAAAGAGCAGAGAAAGACAGAACTAAGAAGCTTTGCCAGTTCCTTACAAAAACTGGAACAGGCATTTAGAGCCAAGCCAAACAGATGTGCACCCTGCCAACATTTCAGTCTGCGTTACATTCTGGATTCTGGAGTGTACTCCAATGTCGGTCTGCAGCATGAAGTGAAGACTGGCAAGACAGCAATTGTGAGGAGATGACTGTTCGTTCAACTTCATTTTCAGGTCCCTTAATCTCCCACTACCCTGTTAATGTTACTGACAGATACTGAGTTACAACTGAAGCACTACTTTCCTTTCAGAAGTTTTTTGCAGTGGCTAAAATAAAGCTGCAGAATTTAATTTGTTTTGCTCTTAAAACTAGAGGAGCAAGACTGTGTTCAAAGTGAGATTAAGTAGCACTGGTTTTTTCAAATGGAAATAGCTCTTGCTTGGAAAACATGAATGGCTGGATTTAAAACCTGGCATGTGCAAGTACACAGTGTCCAAAACAGTATGTGTGACTTGGCAGTCTGGAAAATAATCAATCATGAATTAGAGGCTTTATCAATCACCGGGAAGACACACACACTGCCCATGTTACAAAGCTACATTCAGAAAGAAAACAAAAGTCTGGAAACATTGTAAGGTTAATTCTTGCCTTAGACACCAGCCCTAAGGATACTAGGTATATGCAGCCAACAGGGCAGACAGCCTGACAGCAACAGTATATCATTACAGCACTACATACTCTACAATATGCATATTTCTTGGGAAAACTAGTTCTTTGCATTGTAAAGTCTGGAATAAATATACTCACAAGGTTTACTGTTCTTTTGATAAATTAAGATAACTGCCTCTATGTCTTGCAATAGTACACCCCACAGTGAGAATCAGCAGATTCACTTAAAATGTTACTGAATTTAAGTAAGCAGTGGCATTAAGGTACGCTTTATATGCGGGAATTACTGTACATAAGGCACAGTGCATAAAGTACAGTGCATTTTATCTGTTGGACATCATTAGGCAACTTAAGTTTGCCAATTCTGGCATGGACAAAAAGATATAAGACCTGAGATTAAACATCTACAATTTAAGATTGCATTATCAAATTATCTGAGTCAAAAGGAAATCCTATCTTTAAAAGTAGAAAGCATTATTCTCAAAGTAACTAAAAAACTTCTGGGAAAAAAGGATACCTGGTTTGAAGATTTTGTTTTAAAAAATAATAATTTTAGTGGATATTGGTATAACAATGCTCCAGATTAAGAATAGGTAGATACTACTGGCTCAACACCTAAATATTCCAGTAGCAAAGCATCATTTCTAAATGACTAAAATGCCTTTAAAAAAAATTACAGGGATAAGGATCTGGAAATTGAAATGCTGAGAACTACCTCAGGAAGAAATTGAATCAAATCTGTACTGAGTGTCCAAGAAGACTAAGTGACAAGTTACCAACTTGCAACAACAGACGTATCAGCACTTAATTAACTAGAGTAAGTCCTGAAACTTCTGCAAGGGAATTATGACATTTACTTCTAAAAATATTATGTCCTTTATGTCTGAGTCCCACTAGGCAACATCAAAACACCTACTACAGGCACATGGCTAGACACTTCCCATGTTTTCACAGGACTAGTGAAACACTCCAACACATCAGTAACTTGAAGGCAAATGTTCAACTTCTGAACCTTTTCTCGATAAGAGCAGCAGATGGCAGTGCAGTAGCTTTTTGAGTAAACAGATATTAAATAGCACAGTAAATTACCTGTAGCATGGTGGAGTGTTATACAAAGAGCCATTCATTGCTTGTGTTTTGTAATCCAGTACTACAGGGCATTCTTTCAGTGCAAATCCCAGCAAGTCCTCACGTACTATTACAACAGTAACTCCAGCACAGCCAACATTCTTCTGAGCACCAGCGAAAATCACACCAAACTAACAGAAAGAAGAAAAGAAGGACTCGCTACATGCATTCACTAGTCGATCTTATAACCAAGTCATACACCAGCATCATTATACAACAGGCATACAACTCAGCTGAACAGCTTGGAGACCATGATGAAAACGAGCAAGTTGTAGGTCAAAGAAGAGTTAGGAGAAGTTCTGATTCCAAAGTGCACTTACAGCACAGTTATTATCCCATGTATGTCTATTATCAGAACCATGTATCTTCATTCAACTGAAGATCACCACAAAAAGTTTTCCAGTGATTTGCTAAATATTTTTTCAGTAGTCACAATTCTTAAGGCAGCCTGTCCCCATTTCACACTAATCCAAGCAAATTTACTAAAAATAAATTCACACATAAATCACAGTATTTTCAACCAGTCTGGTGTTTCAGAACAGGCATCATATAATCCACCTGTTTAAAAAGGTGGATCAAGAAAGGCCAAGATGAACACACTAACAATTCCCCCTTCCTCTTGCTACACACTTGTCTGTGTATAGGTCAAACACACTACTTCCCTAGTCAGTAACACGTCCCACTCATAACACACTTTACAAACATAAGCAAGTACTATGTTCTACCTCTGTGTTATATATGAAACAGACACAGTAACTGTGAGGCACAGGAAGCTTTAGCAGCTTAAAAGGGTTTACAGATTTTCCATGTAAGCAGCAGGATCAAAAATTCTCATTCACAGTATCTTGCCATATACACTATCTACATACTAAATATGATTCAGTAGATTTTTTTTCAGCTACAGCATCAGTGAAGACCACACAGTGGACAAATAATCTTGGGTAGCTATTAACATGAACAATTTCAACATAGTTCAATGTTTTTACTGAAAAAAAGGACAGATGGATACTGAAATTTCAAACCTCAGATTTCAACATTTGTATCCACCATCAGATACCCAATTAACAAAATATGATTTCCTTAATTCCACTGCTCACCACCTCTGGCTATCCAGACATTTCAAAGTGCCTAAATATATGCGCTTAAGTTTGAAAACACTTTGTGCAGCCACTGTGTCCAATACTGTACCTTGGAAACATCCACAGGTCTGGATAGGAAGTTTGATGACATATCACAAACCAAGACTGCTCCCTTGACATCAGGTACAAAGTCAAACTCCACACCATGAACAGTCTCATTAGCACAGTAATAGACATAAGATGCATCTGGATTAAGATTCCAAGTGCTTGGGTCAGGAATGTCTGAGACAGACAAAAAAGAAAACCAAAGGTCACTGGAGACAAGTAATTTTCCTGGCATGCAATCTTACTTGAACACAGGACTTAAGTACAAACCCAGAATGATTCTGCAGTATAAAGTATTAGTTATCTTGTTACTAGGAAGCTATAATTCATCAGCAAAGAAAATCTACCAGTGCATTCCCAAAATTGTGTGGTGAGCCATCATTAAGCCTGCAAACACTCTTCTGGTTTTCAGCCCTTATTCCTCAAGAGATTTTCATCAGGTTTGCAATCCCAGACTATAAACTACTACCCTAGGAGTCCAAAACAGCATTTCAGAGGAATTCAGGCACTGGGTCCATGAACCCTCCTTCTGTACCACTGAAGTATCCAAATTCTCACTGATAAAGTTCTCTACAGCTGTGTTTCTGTGCATCCCCAGAAGCATTTCAGTCTTGCCCAAGCTGAACACAGGGTTACCTACCTACCTCCCATTTAAACCTTGCAACTGATTTACAAACTAAAAGTTCCTCTGTCAACAGGCAATACACAGGCATGCCCTGACAGCACAGAACAGGTTTTGCATAGAACAAATGGTTGCTCTTCCTTTCTTCTCTCCTCCAAAAGATGAAGGGTAAAGTAGTGCTGCTATTGCCTCCACCATTATTTACTGTCTCTCCCGGTATCTACAGCTGCCAAACAACAAATACACTCCCCTAAACTGGGAAGTTGTAGGTTCAATTCCTTCCTGTGCCTCAGAGGCTAAAAACTTATCTTCCAAGTTAGTGCCCTAATCACCAGTTAATATACTAACTCATATGGGGATATTCTTTGTCTTTCCTGTTGCTACTCTTCCCAGTTCAAATGCTGTAATTTGGACCAGAGGGAAAGAACATGAGTATGACTAGCAGGAATAGAAACTAGAACTCAGGTGTCCCTGCTCCAAGAATTATTTATGTATATCCAGTGACAAATTATACACTTAAAATGTTCTTGAAACAGACTCCCTCAAAATTTCCCAATGCCCCAGTTACAGTTAACCTTTTTCTTCCTTCTACACTGTCGTCATTCAGATTATGTTATGTCCAGTAACAAGCTTCAAGAGTTGAAAATCCTCCTTCTAGTCCAGACCCAACTGCCTGTTATGACACTTGGCTGGGGAAGATAAGTACCCAGGAACCCCGGAGAGAACGTAACAGAATGCAGGTCTCCCATCCCTCCTGGGTCAATGAGGTTAAGATCCCAGATATGCTTCCAAATTTCAGAGCAATCTCATTGAGTATACCTGAAACTGAAATACCTTGCAATATCCCTGCTAATAGCTTAAGAACTCAGTTAACTAACAACAAAAAAATCAGACCGCCCACACCATTTCCCTACTGACACACATTTGCTTCTTGCCACTTATTTTCTGGGATCTGCTCAGCCTAGTTTCACAGTTCTTTGCTGGTGGACACTGTTAAGCCCTCTAACAGATCTCCCAGTGATGAACATGCAGACACGCAGTAGTCAACCTTTTGAGTTCTGGGCAGTCAAGTTTGTAACTAGTTAACATTCAGTAACCCAGCAGCTGAGTTGGACCAATTTTTAGAGCGATTCAAAAAAGCTAAACATTCACATGGATGGATGTAATCATCAACTTACTTGTATAGGTTCCTAGTTTCGGATGAACAATATTCACTTTGGCATACTTCTCTGCTTCTTTAGCTGCTTTTGCTGACCAAGCTCCAGTAACCACATAATCAGCATGTCTTCCCTCCTTTAAACCAATAAGATTAAGTGGGACTGCACTGAACTGACCAGATCCACCTCCTTGGAGGAAAATAACTTTGTAGTTTTCCGGTATATTTCTGCATGCAAGAAATAGCCATTTATGTTATCCCCAGAAGACACAGGATGCATACTACTTGATACTATGCATTTAGCAGCAACTGTAATTTTAAAAGAGTCTTTGCTAAGAGGTTAGACCAAATCTCATTTACTTACCTCAGCACTGGTCTTGAAAAACAACCTGGGTATTAAAAATAATGCTATACACTTTACCAACAAAATTTTCCTGCAAACAAGCTTTTTTCCTCCCTTGAATAGCATTAAACAAATTCACTCCTGAGTAGCTCCAGTATCACAGTACACACAAATTTAAACTAATGGTCACTTGTTATTTGTCCATTGCTAGCTTCATGGCTTTTCTGTCAGGTTAAGAACTTCACACCAAAGTGCTCACAGTAGAATTCAGCTCTGAGACTCTTCAATTTGAAAGTGCAACCATACAGTAAATTGTTAATGCAGAGCAAATACCATATGGAGTTGTTCATACAGTCACAAAAATTACTTGTTCAAGTTATTCATTAAAACCTCTCTCAATTCTGGCTGTGACTGAGGGTCAAGCTTGTATATGAAACAACCATCATTATTAACTACTCTGAGAACATTAATTCTAATATACAATAGATTTATTTAAAACTTTAAAAAACATGTCACACTACAGATAGGAAAAAGGCTCCTGATCAGTGATTCTAAAACACATCCATTGGGCTCATGTTAGGAAAATCAGACTCCTGGGTCACTTCTATACCTGATTTCTATTGTTTCCAGTTATTTCTAGAAGAAAATTGATACCCTTCATGAATTCTATGAAGGTGACAAATATTAAAATTTTAGAAGAAAGTCAACTAGTCAATGTATAGTAGATACACAAAAAGCATCTTAAGCTAATAAAGCCCTTTGTCACATTCAAATAAATCAGCATCAGACAAAGAGAAGATCAATGTCCTCTCCAAGATAATTATTCTAGCCAACACAGTATCTAAACAAAAACCTAAACAGGTTCTTTCAAGGAAAGGGCTCCATATTAGTCATTACTGGTGCAACTAGCACAAACATAAAAAACAATAAAACAAGCAGGAAGTACTTACAGCAATTCACGCATGAGATTTTCAGCTGTATTTAAAATTTTTGTGAAATCTGAGGTCCGATGGCTCATTTCTTTGGTGGAAAGGAAAGAAAAAAATAGCATGAAACAAAGTGGTAATACATAAATACGTGTTCCAGTACCTAAAGGGGGCCTACAGGAAAGCTGGAGAGGGACTGTTTGCAAGGTTATGTAGTGATAGGACAAGGGGTAATGGGTTTAAGCTGAAGGAGGGTCCATTTAGATTAGATATTAGGATGAAATTCTTTACTGTGAGGGTGGTGAGGCACTGGAACAGGTTGCCCAGAGAAGCTGTGGATGCCCCATCCCTGGAAGTGTTCAAGACCAGGTTGGATGGGGCTTTGGGCAACGTGGTCTAGTGGAGGGTGTCCCTGCTCATGGCAGGGGGGTTGGAACTAGATGATCTTTGAGGTCCCTCCCAACCCAAACTGTTCTATGATTCTCTGAATGCAATTTAAAAATTGTGTTAAGCTTTAAAACTTTTACACTACAGACCCAAAATGCCTGAAGGCTCCCATTTCCAGTTCCAACTCTTTGCTAAGCCTTTCTAAATACCCACACAAAACTTATACCTCCAGTCTTGTCCAGATCCAGGCAAAACCAGTCCATTCACATTTGTCATCCACATGACCTTACCACCTCTAGGAACAACTACATTCATGTGAAAAATAGGTGTAGTGTACACACTGGAAAGGTGTAAGTTTTCCTCACTCTAAGAATCTGCTCTGCTACTAATACTGTAGCAAGTATAGAGTAAGGTACAGGGGTTTGGTTTTTTCTTTCACTTTTAAGAAGGCTTCTTCACACAGGACTCCTAACTACACATTAAGGACACTTAATACTAATTCCTTTTATTAAACTCATATTCTTTCTTCCATCTGTAAGAGTGTACAATTTAAACATGAATCTCAATCCTGCAGAGACTGCTGCACATTCTACCTTTGTCAACCAGTTTCACATGGTAAAACACTGACCATCTTCTTGCCCAGAAGTTTCATGCAACTGGGGCTGAAAAGCCAGTCAGTTACCCCCCAGAAGACACCTCCTCCTTATGACAGGACAGCATTGCCTTCCTAATGGAAGGATGCTATACATCAAAAACATCTGAAGCATTTTGCCACATGCTATATAAGATACTATACATGGTATATATATGTGTATATATACATGTGTATAGTATGTGTATACATATATAGTATTTTATAGATATATAAGCAGATTTTATATATTGCCTATTTATATACACATACATATACATCCCTGCCTAAAGATCCACAAGTACTAATGTTTTACATATTTTTTTTTTTTTTCCTCTAGTCTTTTGTTTTGGATCACTAAACATCTGGCTATGTATCATTTTATGGTCTTCTGATGAATGATAGAAAAGAAGTATGAAAAAATATTCTCTGGACATACACATCACTAGAATAAAGTATTAGAAAAGAAAAGGAGCTGAAATACTAAGATCAAAAACTCTTATTAAACAGTTTGCTTAAACATCTACATTCTGAAAGATTCAGAATTTTTAAAGTCTTACCAAGAACACTTATACCGAGTCCTTTGTAGTCCACCAATTCTTTCTGTGCTTCTAATAATACCTAACAAAAGAAAAAATCCACAAATAAATTAAGGGAATTTTCCATTAATGCATCATGCATATGCCAACTGCTCCACATTGCAATAACCTGACAATTGCCAAGCAAGATTAACAGGAGTATAGTCACCAACACAATTTCCTTGTATGTAGTAGCTGAGGGCTTTTCCTAAGATAGCATAATTACATCATATGCTTGTTGTGGACACCAAGTTTTAAGTTACTACTTCAAACAGCTACATTTCCAGATTTCAGAATGATTTCTAGGAGTTGGATGGAACTCCCAACCTTTTACAGAATGCTTAAAGTGTACTCTAATCAAGCATCTTAAATCCCTGCCCCTCCACCCTGTGTTCTTTCACTTCACTTGCACAAACAGGACAAAGGTATTGAAGAAAACAAAGAAAAAAATCAGCTTGGGGAACTGGATACCTCAAACTGACCCAACAGGGCAAGGCCTGGTTTCACAGAATGAAGCCCCACTCTTTCAGAAAATGTGCCTTGTCTATGTTGTTGAACATTATGAAATAAACGAAGCAAATTTTTGAGACAATCAAAAAATACAGGTCATTCCTAGGAGCCCTAGCAAGATAATTTGCTGCTTCAGCCTTCCATCTTGCTTTCTTCTCCCACAGCTCTTGAATATCAAGAAGGTGGAATTAGATTCTAACCACTGGATCTGCAGCTTCCAATTCCAATAAGTTCTTGTGTGAGAGCCAGAACATTCTTAGTTCCTCCTAAAGGAAAAAGGAGGAACAGGAGCCCCAGTAGAAAAGCCACCAAAACAAATGCTGTATGCCTGTGCCCCAGGATCCATCAAGAAACCACATGCTCTGGACAGTTGCAGGAACAAGAAATCTGCCTTGCCAACCAGGTGTCTGCATGGCCTGTGAACTGTAACAGCTGGTCACCAAGAGGTAACCACAAACAGCTATGCTGCTGTTGATGTTAGAGATGGTGAAGTTTTAACCACTGTGTTTCACATGCAAACTTACCCATGCCAAAGAAGAGGGAAAAAGTCAAGGAGAACACACAGACTATTAGGAAGTGCTTGTTAAACTGCTTGATAAAATCCAATTCTGTTAGTAACATTCTTTATCTGACAACTTGCACATGCCTTACAATAGACATTTACAATACCCCTTACAATAGCCATGAAGAGCTCTGTCCACCTTCTTCCTTCAGCAAGTCAGAGTGCTTCATGTGTGGCATTAGCCCACAATCAAAGTGAAATAATCGAGGTGACACAGTAGTTCATTTAAAAGTACTGCATTTTCAAGAGGGGAAAACAGATTAGTAATATGGAGTTCAGCTATGCTTTTCTCAAACCCTAAACTCGGTTCTCAGTACCCTCTGTTGGAAAGTTGGATACTGCAGCAGTTCTAATAAGACTCTGAGCCAAGGGTTCAAGACAGAACAAGTTTCTTTGCACTATAATCTACAAAGGACATTCCCATGAGAAAAGGAAAAAAGGCAAATCTGTTTACCTGTAGAAAATGGTTAAAGAAATAACACAGAAAATAACAAAGACAACTCTGAAGGAAACTAAGAAAAGAAAAAATATTTTCACAATACATAACTCTTAATTTGAAAGTCAGATGCACACAATTTGGCAGAAACCACCCCCCCTCCATATGTAACTGGCTAATCTATGGCTGCTGATGCAACTTTCCAGAGGGTTGAGTCTACACTATACTCATTATCATTTTTTAAATCAAGACTTCTCAGGGAATTACCACATTATTTATCAGCTGACAAATAACCTACTCAACATAGCTATCCTTGTGCACCTGAGGACTTAACATTTCTCTCCCCCTCCTCACCCAATTAAATGCCCTGGTATGCTTGAGGTTTTTTTTGGAAATGCACCCTAATGTTTCAGGATAACTCACCTAGAGTTTTTTTTCTGAATCTGATCATAGGGTCGTTCATCAAGGGCTGTATCAGCCTCAAACTTACCAGGGCATTTGATTGGGCGAGGAGGGGGAAAGAAAACGAGGTTTCGTTGTTACGTGGGTAGCTCTTTTCATTCGTATTCACCCGAGCTCCCCCGGCCCTCGCTTTGCAGCC